TTCTAATATCTGAAAACTTTGTGATCTCTTTTTGCTATTATTTTCTTTTTATTCTTACTCTTATTGCTCTCTCATACATCTGATTACATTTAACTGTGTGCTGATCACTGCCTTGAAAAACTATTCCTGAGAATTTCCAGGAGCTAAGAAAGATGATGCCTTCCTCCAGAGAGAAGCTACACTTGCCTCTGCCATCTACCTTATAGTATCACCTATTCCAAAACCATTTTACACTAGGGATTCCTTGGATGACCCATTAATGCAAATTTGAACTGAAAATCCATGTGAAAGTCCCCACCATGGTCAGGCTATCTCAAAGATAAATAGGTTTTGTTTTCTTTTGTTTCTGCTCTGCTCAGCACCAAGGCAGCTTTCCCCATGGTGCCCTACATGGGGAAGGGAAACAGTTTTCCTTCTGATTTACATTTATTCTAAGGCTGTCACCCATGGAGGAGGATTTCATTTCATCTCCCTACCACAGACAGTATTTTGATTTATTTCAGCTTTATCTTCTTCTAACCTCACAACCTATTAAAACTTCATTTGATTTTTGATTTGGCTTGATTTCTCTTTCTTTTCCCACAAAGCTATTAAAAACCAACTTAATTTTGTCAGAATTTGGCCTCAGACAAACACAGATGCTGCGTTTTGCTTACTTTTCTGGTTTCTTGCTTTTTCTTAGCTTTTGGCTTAGAAATATCATTAATATTCACTAATTTCTTATTTTCAAAATAAAAAATAAAGTATTCTTATTCAATCCAGCAATTCCACTTCTGAGCATATGTCAAAAAAATTAAAAGCAAGGACTCAAACAAAAAGAAAAAAAAAGGATTCAAATAGATATTTGTATACTCATGTTCACAGCAGCATTATTCCCAATAGCCAAAAGGTAGCTATTCCTACGTTGACCCAGGGATCAATGACTAAACAAAATTTGGTCTACACATAGAATGGAATATTATTCAATCTTCAGAAGGGAATGTTGATACATGCTATAATGGATGAACCTTGATGACATTATGCTAAGTGAAATAAACCACTCACAAAAGGACAAATACTGTATGATTTTGGTTATAGGAGATGCCTAGCGTAGTCAAATCCATAGAGACACAAAGTGGATTGGTGGTTGCCAAGGAATGCGAAGAAGGAAGAATGGGTCCTTATTGTTTAACGGGTATGGAGTTTCAGTTTAGGAAGATGAAAACAGTTCTGGAGATGGATAATGGTGATCGTTGCACAACAACGTGAATGTGACTGTTGCATAACAATGTGAATATACTTAATGCACTAAACATAAAAATGGTTAAAACAGTAAATTCTGTATTATGTACATTTTATCAGGATTTTAAAAGTTCTTATTCAAATGATTAATTTCCCTACCTTCACTTTTACTTAAATACATAAAATGAACAGTATTTTTGTGCTTAATGGGACATCTTCAGAAAGTGTCTTCTGATTGAGGGTCGAGTTTGAATAACATTAAGTAAGCCCTTAGTCTTGAAAACCTCTGATTCTTAAAGATGTTTTCTTCATATATAATTACATGTGAAGAAAAAAATAAAAACGATGTTGGAAAAACACAAAGAAATAAAATTGGGCCTTATTTAACATTTTATTCCCAGGAGCAAAAGGCTCATAAATAGATAAATTTCACCTTCCTTCAGTACAGATATTTTTAAACCAAAACTTTTTCGTTATTACTATAAAATCTTGTTTCCATGTAATTTTCAAAATCTATGGTAATATTCTCAAATGTGAGTACTATAAAATAATCTATTAAATTTACAGAATTTCACTATTAGGTACTTGTTTATTTTATAAAAAGTTCAATTAGAGAATACTTTAAAATTCTTAGTTTTACAAATATCAATTATATTGCATTTTTTGCAATATAGTTAAGAGGTTAAAAAAAAAAAACTTAGAAACCACAAAACATCATTCTCCAGGGGTAGGCTATTTCATGTTACAAAAAAAAGGAGGAAAAGGAAGGGAAATGAAGGGAAGAGAGAATGTTTGACCAGTCGATGTCTATCCAAACCTTTATCTAACTCCTACAGCTTCCTTTCCCACTCCTAACTTGCCAACAACCACTTATAAACAACTTTATCTACACCCATCTTAACCTCTGTGATGCCACTCTAAAGGAACAAGTGTATTTCCACCTTATATAAAATCCCCCATAACTTTATGATATATATTTCATTTACCATCTCTAGCTCTTTCCCTTCATTTTAATAAAGATACTTACATTTCTTCTATTTTAAAAAGAAAAATCTTTCTTGACCTTGTACATCCATTTCATTATAGCCTTTACAGTCAGCAACTTTTAAAGTGTAATCTTGACTCCTTCTCTCTACTTCATGTCCAGTTCTCTTATCAGCCCACTCTATCCCTCTCCATCATACCACTACACTGCTTGCGCTACGGTCTCAATTTATAACTGGCAAAACCAAGAGACATTTTTCAGACCTTCCTTTAGCATCTGACACAACCACCACAAATCCTCAAAATTTTCTACGTTTCCTTCAAAGTTATTACTCTCTTATCTTCAAAATATTCCAGTTTCTATGTTCCCAGTTAAATAGATTTGTATATTATAGTATATATCATCATAAAGAGAATTTTTACAAAAATTTTAATGAAACTAGAAGTATCCCACAGTTTGTGGTAACAAAGCACTTCAAAATAATTATTAAACTTAAAGCTAAATCAAATATTTTAAACAAAAACCCTAATATTCTAAATTTGCTCACCTTTTTTGGTGGGGGGGGGGTGGTTTGAACAGAGGGAGAGAGAGAAAATCTTAAGCATGCTCCATGCCCAGCAATGAGCCTGAGGCAGGGCTTGAGCTCATTACCTCAAGACCCTGAGGATAATGACTGGAGCTGAAAGCAAGAGTCAGATGCTGAACTGACTCACCACCTGGGCACCCTGCTCACCTTCTCTTTGATGAAAGGTAGCTAATTACATTTTCTAGCAAATGCTAGAAAATGAAATCTTTTCTTCAAGAGAAATATATTTTGACAACAAATGTGAAAATGCTTTTTGAAAAAAAAATGCTTTTCAAAAGGAAAAAAGCATTTATATAAAAAGCATTCTGAAAACATGTTGATTACTGCCAAAAATAAATAAATTAGTAAAATTAATTAAAACACATATCAGAATACTTCAAAAATTTGGAGAACAAATTTTTATCTCATCTATCAAAGAATTTAAGTAGGTTTTAAACTTGTTATAAACATTTTTTTTCCTAATTTCCCTCATAACCCCCTGTTACAAACTTTCAAAAATAAACCTTCCAGTTAATTTGTAGGAACAAATACCTGACATCAGGAAAGATGGCAATTACTAGCAGATTTCAAGAAGAACCTGTGAACTACTAGTAAACAGAATTGAAAAAGGTTCATGTTAGGTAAATAAAGCAAATGTTAACATCTCTTTCATTTGGAAGCATGGATCTTTATGGGTATCTTTTCAACTATGAAAGTCAATAAAATCAGATATTCAAATAACTGTCCACAATTCCTTTATTATTATACATTCTAAATAATATTTCACCTATGAGACTGCAGGCTAGTTAAAAGTGGAGACTTGTCTTCATCTTTGTAACCTAGTATTTTGACTATGTGACATACAGCAAATAGATATGCAATAAATACTGTGCGAATAACCAAAAATATAGGCAAGTACACTAAAATGATAACCTACACAGATACACACACACTTATGTATGTAACAGTGTAACGCCTGGTTAGGTAAACAAAACGTTACCTAAAATCGGCTTGACTCAAATCACGATGTTTCCACACCAATTTAATGGTGTTTAAGGGCTAACTTGTAATTTATGACTTCCTTTTTTTAAATTATGATTTTCTTAATCAGCATATGTTCTCCTAAATGAAGATATCAGAGTTGCGCTATACAATATGTGAGGATCTTTGCTTTCAAAGTGAATCATCGGTGATACAAGGAATGAATATATAAAATCAATAAACAGGAAAACAAAACCAACAGAACTTCTTCTGTGACAGATTGTGAATAAATGACCCAGCACAAATGAAACAGTGGAAATTTTAAAAATTAGATTTTCAAAATAACAAATTAGAACTAAAACCCAAGTAACAGTATATTTATTTTAGGACTCAGTTTATATCTACTAATCTCGTGAAGAATGTGATAGCTACTTAACATAATTTTCGCCATGGTATACATTTTCCTTTCATGCTATAGTAAACAAAATTTAACAATAAATCATATAATTATTAATATAAATATTCCCCATTGCTAAATTACATTAGTCTTCCATGGTAGGTAAAGAGGCCCACATTCCAATTTTATTTGAAAAAAATTAAACATATTCTGTATCTTTAATTCTAACTGAATCTTTAAAATAGAAAAATAAACAAAATAAAAGAACACAAAGCTGTTCACAAAAAAGGAATTAGGATACCATTTATATGCGTGTGTGTATTCACTGATATGATAAATTGCTAAAGGTTATAGTAATTACTAATTATATTCAGAGAAAAATTTTATCTTATAAAAGCTGAGATACAAAATGATTAAGTGAAACTAAAGCTGAATTTTATGGATGATATTTACCAGTCTTCTCTGCCCAAGCTATATCTAGAGTCTTTTTTTCTTAAAATGTATTAAAAGAGCAATATGGAGTTAAAGAACAGGAAACGTACAAAATGGAAGGTATGTTAAAAAATCAATACTTCTGTAGCAAATGGTATCACTATTTTTCTTTTTTCAGAAACATTTTATATCCTGGAAAACACTCTTTCCCATTCTCAAGTTTATAGTTACATTAATTATATATGTTTGATGATATCTAAAAATGTTTCATGACCTACTGATTGTACTCTAACAGTGCTTAAGGAAGAAGAAAAAAGCAACTATACTATTTAAAAGATCAAATAAATAAATAAATAAACAAATAAAACAAAACAAAACAAAGCCAAATTTAGAAGCCAAACTATCCCACTGATACCTACCTCCTGGAAATTCCATTAGCCAGACATTTATGGCTACAGGATTTGGAGGATAGGGGTGATGAAGTTGGGGACAAGTTGAGAGGGGCAATCAAACTGTTGATGATCTCAGTCAACTGTGCACTCTGCAAGAAAAATATTAACTTTTTACTACTGCTAAGCAAGAAATTTGAGTTAGTTCTCACACCGTTAGCAAATGTTTATGTTTTAGTCAATATTTTAATCTACAAAGATGATTTATACTACTACTAATTTTTCCACTTATTATAAATAAATCTACATTTTAAAGTACTCTTCCTTTTCTATATCCGTTTTTATTACAGTTTCTTTATCTACGCATCCTATCATCTTAAAACATTTGAATTTAGCTAACAGCATCTACATAATATTTTCTTTAAGGCAGCTAAGTTAATAACAATAAAATCATAGCTATAATTTACTGCCTACTATATGCCAGGCACTACACAAAGCACTAAACATAGATAATTTCTAATCTTTATAACCAACCTGCAAAGTAGTTAGTATTAGAACTACTGGTATTTCTATTATTAAAATCAATTACAGCAGAGGAAATTGAAGCCAAAAAAGATTAAGTAGCTTGAATAAGGATTATAAAGTTGGTAAGAAATGGAGCTAGGATTCAAATTCAGACTTGAATCCAATGTCACGCTGTTTCTCAGTATTTTTCCTAACTCAAAAATATCAGGTTTGTTTAGGTACTCAAATTTCAATTGATCCTTATTCCAAACTTAAATATACATAATATATTTGTACATAAATATATTATATATATTTGTACATAAATATATTATATAGAATTAATACATAATAAATAATAAATTTATAAAATTATTCTCAAAACAATAACCTACAATAATTATAATAAGCATAGCCTTATCACTGGAAACAGTATGTTTCTACAAAAGAATGACAATTATTTTCATTACACACATAGTCTATGTTTATTATACAAAAAAGGGCAAATATTAAAAGGCTCAAAAAAGGAAAAGAAAATCACGTGTATTCATATTACACAGAGAAATACTACTGCTAATATCTTAGTATACAACCATCCCTCTAGACTAAGTTTTTTTGAGTCTGTGCAAGCATGAGTGCATACAAAATGCATCTACACACGTACACCTACACAAGTACAAGCGTACGTGCACACACACAATTTTAATTAAATCATGTCACATAAATTTTCTATGACCTGGTTTTCTCACTTAATAATGTATGATTTTATTTTTTTAATATGTAGTCCTATTTCACCATTTTTATTAATTGAAAGATATTCCATTAGAAAATAGAGGGGTATATGAAATAATTATTTTTAAAATTTTCATTTATATGAAAATAATATGCTATTAGAAATAATGAGATAATAATTAGTAAATCTAATATTTGAATTCTTCAAAGTCTTGAAAAAGACCCTGAAATGTTTTCACCATTTACTTTCTTGAAAAATAATACATACCTAATGACTTCATTTTAAAAATGATTACTCATTTTTAGATTAAAGATCATTTTCAAAATCAATACAAATAGATTCTTGATAAACTTAGTAAGCACTCATTATTAGTCATACAAAGAAATTTATAAAGTATCTCATATTTTTCAGTCTGAAACACTGATAGAGTCTTCTCATTGTTCCACTGACAAAAATACCATTAAAAATCTTCTAACCCCCCTGAGGTAACTGGTTAAGTATGTGTGAATAATTGGTCCAGAAGAACAGCCTAGCCACCAACCAATCCAGCCCAATAAAACCTCAAATATCTGAGTCCATGTTTGGCCTAAGAAAATCAGAGTAAAAATGAGAAAAAAGTAAATTAGGACAGGAGTAATTTAAACTTTGAAAGCAAAAACTATCAAACTTGAAAGTTAAAACACTTACTAGCTACTGGATAACAAGGTTTTAAATGTAAACACACCCATGTGAAACTTTTTTCAAATTACCTAAAGTTCTAAAAGAAAGTCACCTTTTAATTTCTGAACAAAATACATTATCTGATAATATAAGTCTACATTAATACTATAAATCAATGTTATTTTTTAAAACTGGTACCATTATATAACTCAACAGTGCCTTTATATTTTAATTATCAACTCTTTAATTGCTTTTGAGATACATAAATAAGTTTTGTTTGGTAAATAAAACATTGCCCTAACAAAATTAACTTAATCAAATCATTCAATACTTGATCTGTTCTCAAGGTCCACTAAGATCAGTGAACAACAGTTACATACCAACAGGTTATCTTAAGAAAAATATGTGTAATATCAAGCCTGCTAACCCTGACACTTAATTCTCAACCCTCTTCAGCAAGTATTTGAAAACAATGTTTTTAATTGGCCTATAAAAACATTACTAGCATATGCTACAAGAGCAAATGACCTGTTCATAGGCAATTTAATAATGACCTCTACAAGAGATTGCTGCAGTCCCTTTCTTATCCTTTTGCTCTACACTTCCTATATCCAGACCCATTGCCAGTGTTCTCACAAGTCCTGGTTCCCTTCTCTTTCAAAGCCTCTAGCACTCCTGTCAACAATGGGACCAAAAATAAACATAATACCCAGGGCCAACTTCATGGGGAAACAACCTGAGCAGTTGCACAGGGCTGCCCTCAGAAGGATCCCATGATTGGTTAATGCCCTGCTGTCACTGACTTAAATCTCTTCAAAATTGTTTTTAACAAAGAGCTATGTAATTTCATTTTGCACTGGACCCTGGAAATTAGCCAGTTCCGATGTTAACTCAGGTCTAATAAAACAAATTGTTGCTACCAAGGAGAAAGAAAGAATATAAAAAATCTCTCTCCAAAGGATAAGCAGTGACCTACAGGTAAAGAAAACAGAAGACCTGACTGACCAAGCAAATACATTTTTCTGGAGTGTGAAACATGGCCAAACTCAAAGGGTGGTGAAAAGAGAGGGAAGTGGGAACATAACCAACAATATTTTTTTTTTTAAAGATTTTATTTATTTATTTGATAGATCACAAGCAGGCAGAGAGGCAGGCAGAGAGAGAGGAGGAAGCAGGCTCCCTGCTGAGCAGAGAGCCCGATGCGGGGCTCGATCCCAGGACTCCAAGATCATGACCTGAGCCGAAGGCAGCGGCTTAACCCACTGAGCCACCCAGGTGCCCCATAACCAACACTATTTAAAACACCACTTATATGGTAAAGTACATTCCAATTTAACACTAGATAATTTAAAAAGAACTTTCTGGATTATAAAGTATTCATAAAAGTATTTTGATTATGAATTTGTGCAATTATGCAACTAAGAAAAAAACTCTAGGCAACTGTAAATTGAACAAATATGGAGTAAGAGGTATTGCACCATACTTTGACTTACCAGGAATAAAACAGTAGTAGCCTGGTACTAATTTCACAATATATGACAGAAAAACCTAGAAAAATTAGATGTGAGCAAGCATGAATCCACCTTACTCACTGAAACAAGGGAACTATGTAGCTGTGATCCCAACTAGGTATACTTCAGCAGATTTAGATTGGTTGTAAGGTAACAAACTCTTATAAAGCCAGCTTTGTTCAAGAGCCACCAAAATCTAAATAAAAATAAATGGTGTGATTTCAAAGGACAGACAGAGGACAGAGTAATTAAACTTCTGGAGTCATCCATAATTGAATTTCAATATTAGGAAAAGCTTTAGAATCAAAATAATTTGTTAGGGGCTTAGTCGCCATTTATTTACATGAACTTTTTTAACAAAAAGAATTCATATTCTGATCTCTTTCACTAAAAATCTCTATCAATAAACTGATCAATTCTATTAATTTATAAGTAGATTCAGATCTATTAAATGGTATCACTGTTCTTTCTTCATGAAAAAAAGTCCAATGATGAACAATTTTGCTTGAAAAAAGATATTCTAATCCTAGTACAAATGAGTTATCATCCTATGGCTGTGTACCAATATTTTATATATTTAAATAATCTTAATTATATCAATGTTATAAGAAAGACTCATCATATACTACAAATTTTAATTGCATGTAATGTAAAATGGGAAACCTTAATAACGAATATCCCAAGCAGACGCACAGGTTTATTTGAATAGTTTATTAAATGAATAAAACTCATTTCATGCCACTCATATCTTAACTCTTCCATCATATTACCTGCTTTTCTATATTGCGAAGAAGAAGTGTTGGGCTACTTGGTGACATTTCAAAATCTTGTTCTGGTAAAGGATCTGGAATCTCCTGGGGAATCTGGGGATTCCCTGTAGTATGTAATGAAGCCGCCTGGTCAGAAAATTGTATTTGTTTCTTCAAAATGTCTTTTGGAAGTTGACATTCTTCTAGGATCACTATCCCCTAGGCAAACAGCAATTAAAAGATGAAATTAAAATAAATTGACTGCTAAATCAACTTTAACATTACAATGCACTTGAAACCACGTTTCTTATGACCTGAAAGTAGAGTCTAACTGTAAAAAATTGGCTGATTTAAAACATGTGTGGCTAAAGCAACATGTATGTCTGATGGGTTAGGCTTGTAAAATATTGCCATGCATTGTATATATGAAGTTATTTTTCTTCTTTTTTTTTTTAATTTATTTATTTGACAGACAGAGATCACAAGTAGGCAGAGAAGCAGACAGAAAGAGAGGAGGAAGCAGGCTCCCTGCTGAGCAGAGAGCCCGATGCGGGGCTCGATCCCAGGACCCTGTGATCATGACCTGAGCTGAAGGCAGAGGCTTTAACCCACTGAGCCACCCAGGTGCCCCTGTTATTTTTCTTCCTATTGGCTTTAGTTATTAGCAGCAAAAGCGTGATACATTTTTTTAAAGATTTTATTTATTTATTTGACAGAGATAAAAAGAGCACAAGTAGGCAGAACAGCAGGCAGAGGGAGAGGGAGAAGCAGGCTCCCCGCGGAGCAGGGAGCGCGATATGGGGCTCAATCCCAAGACCCGGGGACCAAGACCCGAGCCGCAGGCAGCCATCCAAACGACTGAGCCTTCCAGGCACCCCAAGCATGATACATTTAAAATCAAGGCTTATATGCAGAATATGAACACTTCACACTGAAATTTAGAACACTTCCTCATATAATCTTCAGATATTTTGGTCACTAGCATTTCCATTTGAGTACTCCCAGTTTCATAAATTAAAATACCAAACTTACAGACATCCAAACACCATTCTGACTTTATATAAACTGCTTTCAGAGTACTCTTAGTAGTCCAACTCTGTTGCTGCCAGCCAGCAACCATGAGCAGGACTGCACTATTGAGAAAAAGTATTCTGTAGGCCAGTTAAATTGTTGCTTATAAGGTAGATGAGTTAATAACAAAAGACACAAGTTTTCACCTGTGATGGGGTATTTTCTTAAATGTAGAGGAAAGAGCTGGGATCTAGCTGCCTCTGCCCTCCCTGCCTACCATTCGCGCGCACACACACACACACACACACACACACACACAAACTGGCTTGCTAAATACTCTCCCATATTCCCCAGATTCTTCATTCCAACTGTTCTTACCCTTACGTCTCTCAATGGCAATGAAGACAGAAGAGAAAGGAAGAAGAAGAATGCACAGATATGATCTTAACAGTTTATCAGTTCTTACAGTAAAACTTTTTTCCCTCTCTATCCTTTATACCACTTGTGTATACGCATGCACAGACACACACACACACACACAGAGTTATTTAGCAAAATGCCAATAAACTCCTAATAGGCTAGTTGGAAAGGCATTAAATGCCTATGTGGCTAAAATATAATATTCCTGTAATGAAAAAGTGACTAAAACATTAATATAAATGCACAGTATTTTAAGACGAGTCAAATTTAAAAACTGGTATGGGCCAGCTTATATCATATTTAAGTGCTGTTTATAGGATGGGAACTGCCTATAAATTATGTTATAGATGAGTAGTTTTAATTTATACTATAATTTGGAGAATATATCACTTTAGCATGAACATATTCAGGTATGGTGTCAAACATTATTTTGTAGTAATATATTACTACAAAAGTAATATAGTAAAAGTAATGAATAAGGTATTATTATTGCTTTTATTATTATTTTCACCTACATTTATAACAGTGCTAGTAACTTTTACAGAAAGAAGGAGATCCAACTGTTGATCCCATCTCAATAACTATTTCCTAGAATGCATAAATATGGCTGCCAAGAAATCTGAAGAAATACATTTTTTTTAAATTTTTGTTTTATTTGATATTTTAAAAGTTAAAGTAGACTTGGGGCACCTGAGTGGCATAGTCTATTAAGCGTCTGACTCTTGGTTTTGGCTTAGGTTGTGATCTAAGGGTCATGAGATCAAGTTCCATGTCTGGCTCTGCTTAAGACTCTTTCTCCCTCTCCCTTGGCCTCTCCTACTCGTGCTCTCTCAAATAAATAAATATTTTTTTAAAAGTTGGGACTTGTTAGATATAGTATCATCAATCTCAAAAGCTTTTGAAAGTATCTGAAATGTCCATTCAAAACATGTACAAGTGTCTCACTAGATTTTTAAACAGTATCTGCTTGCAAAATAAATGTAAGTTTTCATCATATCAATTTAGCTGTGATTCCCATTGATTTGATTACAGTTTATTTTATGGGACAGGCTGCTATGAATTAGCCTGGTTTTACAACCCTTACTAATAGTCTTGTACATACCAAAAAAACTGATTCAGAATTTCAAAAGGTCAATTTTCAAACCTTTAGAATACTGTATTTTTTAGAAGTAGGGGTCTGCTATAGTTAGTTCAATGCAAAGTAATATTTGAAAAAACTGAATTAGGAAGACATTCATAATCAAGTTCATAATCTATTTTTTTCCCTAAATTGTTACCCTTGATAAAACTCTCACAAATGGCCAAGAACAGAGTAAAAAGGGGAAAAGATTAAATCCTTTAAAGACACTACAGAGACAGTTTCAGTTCTTAAAAACCAAGAAAAGAATACATTCGTGTTGGGTCACCACGATGTACACTTAAACATCTTACAATTTTGTCAGTCATACCTGAATAAAGCTGAATTTAAAAAAAAAAAAAACGCTCAGAAAAAGAATAGTCTAATCATAGATAAGGTAAATAACAAAGATGTGAAAATTTTTTAGTAAGATGAGTTGCAATAACTGAGACAAATGAAAGCTCTAGCGTAAGATGAAAGCAAGTCAACTGCTCCAGAGAAGAAAATTGTTCCTGATTATAACACTAAACAGATCCTTATCCCACTCCCAGGTCTTCATAGAGAAGACATGGTATTAAAAAAATAATGACCTCAGCAATACCTTCAGTATTTATATAAAGTCACCAAAGCTAATTTTTTAAAAAAATTTAAATGAGACACCCATGGGTAGCTCAGTCACTTAAGAGTCTGCCTTTGGCTCAGGTCATGATCCCAGGGACCAGGGATCAAGTACTACATTGGGCTGCTTGCTCAGCAGGGAGCCTGCTTCTCCTTCTGCCTGCTGCTCCCTTCCCCCAAACCCCCCAACCCCATGCTTGTGCTCATGCGCTCTCTCTCTGATAAATAACTAAAGTATTAAATTTTAAAAAAAAAATTAAATGAAAAATTTCAAATGCACAAAATTACAATTTAAAATGTAGAAGACCCTATCACAAGATAACAAAAGAAATCTAAGAGAAACCACTTAATATGGGATATTGAGAAGGATAGCCAGCTTCTCAACCAAAAAAATACCACCTATTTTAATATTTTCTGAAAGTGACAAGAGGCTATTGTCTTAGTGAAAGTTGAAACAAAGAAAAGAAGAAACATAGAAGTTGTAATGTGTTGCCAAAATGCTGGAAGAACAAGGAAGAAATGTTGTTAACATGGACTTTCTTTTCTCTAAAATTTTTAGCAAAAGTTAGACCATCCCAGTATGTCAAGAAGGGGCAAATGACAGCTTAAAAACCCAGAATGTGTAGATCTACTTGTAGACTGACTCAGTGTTTCCTGACCAGGGTTACCAACTAGCACTTATTTAAACAGGATACTTACAAAAGAATGTCTCTCGACCTCTTTCCCTTCTCTGTATTTCAAATTTAACTGAGAAGAAAGGATTTTTTAAAAATTTTCAAGATAAGTTAAATAGGTCCTTCAAGAGAATGTTAACTACACTTCTCAATTTTTTAATTACAATAACTCAAGAAGACAGAAGAGCAAAGAAAATGTTATTTTCTCTATTCAGTATTATAGTTCAACTAAACTGCACATAACTAAGCAATTAAACATCTTGATTAATTCCCAAGAAATGTAAGGAGAAGCTACTAAAATAAATACTGTAAAGACATTTTCCATAAAGTAAACATAATGTGATTTTTAAGAAAACAGAAGGCCAGATACACATCTAGCCTGAACCAAGAAAAATGTAAGGCCATATAAATTATTACTGAGAAGTTTAGATTTCTTTCCTAAAAATAATTCCCCTAGATATTGTGTAAACATATGAACTTTTAAAAATGTTTCTGAAAGTACATAGCACTGTTTAGAACACACGGGTCATAAAATATGAACCAGACTGTGTAGATTCAAGTATAAAACTTAGTCATCAATTTAACTAGGAATCCACTTTCTTGGAAATTTCCAAACTGTTTTAAATTTGACTTTTTTTGAGAACTCTATTTACTATAAAAATGCTCATGATATTATATCCTTTAAAGTAAATGATCAGAGAGGAGAAATTATCTGGTGATCCTGAAAGAACTGGGAAATCACTACAACTGAAGCCTTCAATGAAGACAGCTAAAAATGAGAAACAGGGGATGCCTAGGTGGCTCAGTGGGTTAAAGCCTCCGCCTTCGGCTCAGGTCATGCATGATCCCAGGGTCCTGGGATCAAGCCCCACATCGGGCTCTCTGCTCAGCAGGGAGCCTGCTTCAACTTCCTCTCTCTCTGCCTGCCTCTCTGCCTACTTGTGATCTCTGTCTGTCAAATAAATAAATAAAATCTTAAAAAAAAAAAGAGAAACAGTAACTACTTCCATCAGAAAATTATTCTTGAGCAGAGTTCCCCCAAATCCAACAGACAAAACAGGTTAAGCCTAAGGTTTTATGACTATTCTTCTATCCATCCTCCTACACACACCACCACCAAATTCTACAATTCATTCCTTCCCAGTTTCCTCTTCCATCCTTACACAACTCATACTTTCCACTCCTTTGAATACCATTCTACTTTGTCACTCCCAAAACACATTATGTTGTTTCATGTCTTCAAACCTTCAAGGAATGCCCTTTTCCAGCTCCACTGGTTCATCAAGCAAACCATTATTTATCTTCCAAAATTACACTGAGGTATCACCTCTTTTTCTGATGCTTTCTTGGAACAGCTAATCCCTAAAATAAGACTTATGTATTCTCTCTATGCCACTTGTATATCTTATTAAAAAAACATGTATCATTATACCAATTTCATTATATTACAATTAATTATTTACATGGTCTCTCTCTCCTACCAGAATATAAACTCATGCTTGTGCCTAAAAACTTTATTTATGTGCAGACCCTAGGTACTGTTCCGCTAACTACATGGATAACCATATGATTAAGAATGTATTTCAGTAAAAGGTAAACCAAGAGAGAAAAGGCAATGTAGAAGAGACTGCAAACTTCCCAATATCCACTTTCCTCTTCTTTTTACAACAAAACCATACTCCTACTGGAGTTCTAGCTATGCATACAACTTCTCATTATAAGGCTGTATTATTTACCTCTCCCTCCTGAAATATGTGCCTAAACTTGGGCCAGTGAGAGTGACACAAAGTACTACAATTTCCAAATTACCTCCCACCTAAAGACAAACTATTTTGCACTTTTCTCACTTCCCAAGGGCCAGAATGAGGGAATGACTACAACCCTGTTTAACAGTGCAGTCAACATTATCCTAGAGGACAACAAAGGTCCTCTAAGTAAAACACAAGAATAGTAAGCAGATTTTTTTTTAAAGATTTTATTTATTTATTTGAGAGAGAGAGAGAACAAGCAGTGGGGAGGGAAAGCGGGGGGAGAGAAAGAGAGAGAGACAGAGATTGAGAAGCAGACTCCCCACTGAGCAGGGAACCCGGATGCAGGGTCTGATTCCAGGACCCCAGGATCATGACCTGAGCCAAAGAAAGATGTATAACCAACGGAGCCACCCAGGCACCCCAGGAAGCATATTTTTAATAAAATTAGTTAGAAATATAATTACTGACTATAAAAAAGAAGGAACTAGATCGTAGTAGATCTACGCAATGAAAAGTCAGAAAGTATTAGAATCCTGTTAACGCTATTTGAAAATAAGACTGTCTGTAACTAGACTGAATTCCCTCTGAAGGAACACCCTCTTCATCTTTGCATCCCGATATCTACCATATACCTGACATTTTAGTGGGTTTTTCAAAACCAAAGAAAAACATAAATGTGAGGTAAATTTTTTTTAGAATTGTTTTTTCTGAGCTGGCTCTGTAAATGATAGTCCAGAAATAAAAAGAAGCACTAAAAAAAAAATCACAGATTGGGAAAAGTTAAAAACTATTCAATAATTTTATTTAATTTTCTACCATTTATGATATATAATTATATTTTCTGTAAATATATTTAGAGTATCTCTGGAGAAATACACAATAAACTGCTATTGTTAATGCTTTCAAGGGAGAGAACTGGAGGACTAGAGGTAGAAGGGAGAATTGTTTCACAGTATATTTTTTAGTACTTTTTAATTTTCTATCATGTGTATGTAATTCCATTTTTTTCAATTTGTTCTTTAAAAATCACCATTTACCTGACTAGACAATAAGCCTAAATAAATTCTGACCATTGGTGCAGAAAGAAAAAAGAAAGAAAGAATTAGAATCCATGTTTTAAGTAATAAATAATATAAAAATATTGAATACTTTTTAATCATTGTTAGGATTATTTTTAATTAAGAAGTATATTAAAAATTAGGAGTACGACAAAGAATAAAACTATAATGAATAGCTTCTAAACCAGCAGAGGTAAAAGAAGGAAGCAAATTCTACCAATCCAAAAAGAGAAGTAAAATAACAAGACATAAATAAAAAAGAGGAAAATAAGGGCAAATAAAAAATCAAAACTAATCAGAGTTGATTTTTGAAACTAACTATTCATAGTTTAAAAAGAAATACCTAGAATAATAAAAAATTTTATTTAACAAAAAGCAAGAAGCAAAAAAAAAACTGAAAAATTCACAATGATGGGGGGAAATTTTAACAAATGTGTATCATAAATGGAAAGATCTAGAGGTATAAACATACAGCAGATATATACAATAAAGTCAACAAATTTGACAAAGAATTCTATACTGAACACATACAGAACATGCATTCTTTTCTGTTACATATACTAAAATAATGAAAAGACAAGCTACAAATGAGAGATATGTAATATTTATAACTGACCAAGAATAGTCTCCAAAATTTAAAAAGAATTAACAGACACACTTTTCCACCAACCATAGCCCTCTCCCTGTCCCACTAAAAAGAGTGAATACAAAGGTAGTTAATTCTTAGGCAAAAAACATTTGGTGGGCAATTATATCAAGGCCCAATTCTCAGTACTAAGGAATGATTAAATTAAAACAATAATAAAGTAATATTTCTTACACATTACACTGGAAAAATTAAAAGGTAAAAAATTACTAGATGTTGGCAAGGATGTGTAAAAAAAAAAGAGTGCTCATGCACTGCCAATGGGAATATTAACTATCCAATCACATCAGTAAGTATAGGGAAGATGAAGACAGCCAGGCCTAAGAGCCATCACTCTCAGGCATATACCAAGAACTCTCCATGGCTGACAAAGAAACACAAAAAAAATAGTCATTACCGTATTGTTTTTACTAGCATAAAACTAAACAATGTATATGTCTATCAATAGAAAATAGGAGAAGAGATAAACATTCCATTGTATTCATATAATTCCATCCCATTCATACTGTTAAGTAACATACAGGACCTCTAAAATTTATGTTGAACAAAAACAAGCAAGTCACAAAAGAGTTTGTAGTATATAGGTCATTAATACAGACTGTGAAATAATGGAAAAATAAATACTAGTTTTAGACAGAGACATCTATGTGCCAATAGTTTAAAGACATAAATACCAAAACATGCTGGAATCAAGAGAGTGGCTACAGTGGCATGAGGAAAGAGAATGGGATCAGGAAGGTGTATGCGAGTACCTCAACTGTACAGGTAATGCTTTGTTACTCTAAAAACTAAACCCAAACAGTAAAAATTTAACACTTGATAAATTTGGAGGCGGGTACAAGGTGTTCATTATATTGCTTTCTAGAGCTTTTTACGTGTTTATAATTTTTTTTAAAGCAAAACAAAAACTCTGAGGGGATTCAATAAAATACACTCAGACTTTCTCACATATGTTCAAATAAATGCCATCGAAGTAGAAGTTTATAAAAGTGTACCTAATTTATTTTCATTGGAATCCAATGAAGAAGCTCTGAACTGCTCAAGTGTGATAAAATGATCATAACAAATACAAAGACATTACAATGAAAGCTTCAACGTAAAGCAACTGATATATTAAAAATGGTAATTTATCAGCTATACTTTTATAAAGACTTGTAACAATTACACTGTGTGCAGAGATGAGAAACTAAAACAGTAATTTTTTTTAAAGAATACAAACAATACCTTGGATGCACGAATCTGCTTGTGAACATCCGTTAGTTGCTGGATTTTGTACTCCAGTTCTGAAATCTGGGCTTGAAGCCATGTCCATCGACTGCCAACTCTCGCTCTGTCTACAAGCCACTTCCATTCAGTGCTACAGTTACTGTGAAGGAGACAAACATTGTTAGTCAAAAAACAAAGGCAATCAAGTTTTCACAGACTACTTAAATTCTTTGGCTCCTATCATATAATCCAAATTCCTTTATACAACATCTAATTACATGAAAGAACCTCACATCAACTCTTAGCAAAGAAAAATATTTAACTTATCTATCCCATAAACACTTGTTTTTATTATTACATATCCAGTAATAAGATAATCTCCTCTGCTCCTTAACATTTTATTAATATGCACAAGGGCTGAAATAGGAGTGGGCTAGCAAAAGAAAGGAAACAGTAGTGATACTTCTAACACCATGTAAAAACTGTTACATGAAGCTTCTATATGTAAGCAGAAGTATTAGTCACTTGAACTGTGCTAGATTCAAATAGATGTAATAAACCAGAGTGCTCAATTTTATTATATGCAATTTTTATTCGTTAAAACAGTAGTCACTGGTAGCTAATTAAACACCTAAACTCAATTTAAATATATTATCAAAAAGTATCAAAAATATGGCTGCTCTACCTTTCAAATAAGTATACCAAATATATAGGCTGGGTGGCTCAGTTTGTTACGCGTCTGCCTTCAGCTCTGGTAGTAACCCCAGGATCTTTGGGTTGAGCCCCACATCAGGCTCCCTGATCATCAGGGAGCCAGTTTGTCCCTCTCCCTCTGCCCTGCTTGTGCTCTCTCTCTCGATTAAATAAGTAAAATCTTTAAAAAAAAAAAAAAAGGCGGGGGTGGGGTGGGGTGAGGGATCTCTGGGTGGCTCAGTCAGTTAAGTGTCTGCCTTTGGCCCAGGCCATGATCCCAGGCTGTTGGGATCGAGTCCCATACAGGGATCCTTGACCAGCAAGGAGCCTGCTTCTCCCACTCCCTGCTGCTTCCCTGTTTGTTTGCTTTCTCTGACAAATAAGTTAAAAACTAATAATAATAAAATAGATTTAAAAAATAAACCTGATTCCCAGGATTCACAGCTCAAAGATAAGAATTTATATAGACTTTTCTGTCATGCATTTTTGAAAATAAGGGTTGAAACCTAGCTCCTCTATCTTTTGGCAAGGGTACTATTCTAATCCATAGTTTGTGAGCTAACAAATTAATTACTTTATGAAAATCTAACCACTCCAAATAGAAAAGTTATTTGGAATAACTAATTAAGAGCTTCAGATTACAAAAGAAAACGTGACAGAAATTGAAGGTAAAAATGAAAACCAACAAATGTTTCATGGCAGAACACAAACTTTATGAAAAACTTGCCCCAAAATTACATTTACTGTCAAAACCCATAGAATGTACAATACCAAGAGTGAATCCTCATGTAAAGTATGGACTTTAAGTGGTAACTATTTATCAGTTTAAGTTCATAGATTGTTACAAATGCACTACTTCGGTATGCAGTATAATGATGGGGAGGTTCTATTAGTGTAGGGACAGGGAATATACAGGAACTCTTGCATTTTCTGCTTACTTTTGCTAGGAATCTAAAACTGTCCATTAGTTTTACACATTGAACCATAACTGAATGTCTCCCATACAAACTTTAGCCAGAGAAAACTTATCCTAAAATATAATTTACTGGGGTGCCTCGTGGTTCGGTTGGTAAAGCATGTGACTGTTGATCTTGCGGTTGTGAGTCTGAGCCCCACGTTGGGTCGGGAGAGGACTTAAAAATATTTTTAAAAATAAAATAATAAAAGATCATTTGTTGTGATGAGCACTGAAACTAAACTGCACACCTGAATCACTGAAATGCACACCTGAAATGAGTAATAATACACTGTATGTTAACTGGAATTTAAATAAAAACTTACAGAAATAAAATACAATTTGTCGGAGAAATGGAATAAATTATTATAACTTCACCGTATAGAATATATTTATTATAACAGGATTTTACATTAAATCAACGTCCCTAAGAGTTAATTTTTTTTTTTTATCCATTTGAGAGAGAGAGTGTGTAAGCAGGGTGGAGGGCAGCAAAAGGAGAGGGAGAAGCAGACTCCCTGCTGAGCAGGGAGCCCCATGCAGGACTTGATCCGGGATCCTAGGATCATGACCCAAACTGAAGGCAGATGCTTAACCAATTGAGCCACCCAGGCGCCCCAAGAAATGTTCTTAAGATTCTAATTGCACACAATATGATTGAGGAGACCTTCATATAGCTTAAGAATTCTCTTGGTATTATGTATTCAGTCTATATGTATTATGTTTTATGTATTACGTGCATTATGTATTTGGCTTATAGTCATTATTGTGCTTTTAAATTTGACACATTTTTAAATATTTTCATAGTTATGAAAATAACAAAAGAGAATGCTTATTCAAAATAATATTAAAATGCAGGGGCACTTGGCCAGCTCAGTCAGAGGGGCATGCAACTCTTGATTTAAGATTTTGAGTTCAAGCCCCACGTTGAGTATAAAGATTACTTAAATAAACAAACAAATAAACAAGCTTTAAAAAAAATAATATTAGCTTTTCCTTTTTGTGGCCATTGTTGAAGTGCCAGCAGCCACAATGAAGTTTAACCCCTTTGTGACTTCTGATGAGAGCAAGAACTGTAAAGAGTACTTCAATGCATCTCCCCACATTTGCAGGAAGATTATGTCTTCCTGGCTGAGACAGAAGTACAATGTTCGATCCATCCCCATCCAAAAGGATAAAGTACAGGCTGCGTGAGGATACTACAAAGGTGAACAAATGGGCAAAGCAGTCCAGGTTTACAGGAAGAAATATGTCATCTACCCTGAACAACTATACAAGAAGGCAAAAGGCACAAATGTCCATGTGGGCACTCAGCCTAGCAAGATGGTTATCACTAGACTAAAACTGGACAAAGACTGCAAAAAGATCAAGCCAAATCTCACCAAGCAGGAACGGAAAAGGGCAAATACAGGGAAAAAACAATTGAGAAGATAAGGGAATAAAGTAATCTTATATACAACTTTAAATAAAAACTGTTAAGTGGGTGGGTGGCTCATTTGGTTCAGCCTCCGCCTTCTGCTCAGGTCATGATCCCAGGGTCCTAGGATCAAGCCCTGTGTGGGTTTCCTACTCAGCGGAGGGGGGTGGGTGTCTGCTTCTACTGCTCCCACCCCACCCCGTGCGTGTACACGCTCTCTCTCAAATAAAATCTTTAAATAAATAAAAACCATTAAAATAAAAAAATATTAAAATAGATACTATTATCTATTATTCATAGATAATACTTAATAACACTAACTATCAATCATGAAATTAGTGAGAAAGGCAAGGGCTATGGCACATAGCAGTTGTACAGGTTAATGGTAAAGTGTTGGATTTTATGCAAAAAGGAAGGGGTTTTTTTTGTTTTTTTTTTAAGATTCCATTCATTTATTTGACACACAGAGATAGTGAGTGAGCGAGCATAAGCAGGAGGAGCGGCAGGCAGCACCAGAGGGAGAGGCAGGCTCCCCAGTGAGAAGGGAGCCTGAATGGGGACTTAATCCCAGCACTCCAGGATCACGAAGGCAGCAGCCCAACCAACAAAACCACCCAGGTGCCCCCAAAAAGAAAGTTATTAGCAAGGCAATAAAAAAACCTTTTTTTTTCCCCAAGCACTCTGGTTACTAGGTAGAGAAAGCATTATAGTGGGATATGAGAAGAAATAAGGAAATTGGTTAGGATGCAACTATAGTAATCTGTGTGTGGTACAGATAAGTGTGATCTCCAAATAGTTCATGTGCTATCCTACATTTCCCAGCCTTCTTTGCACTTAGGTTGGAGCCATGTGACTAATTCTGACCAATGCATTATGAGCTAGGGACCTAGTTATTTCCAGTCTCAACCTTCAAAGCCACTAGTGCAGACAGCATCACTACAAGATGTGGGAGGATCAGCCTAAACCACACTGGCTTTTACGTAAGCCACAGCAAACCCTGGCTGTGTTAAACCTCTGAGATTGGCGGGGGGGAGGAGGGGGTGGCCTCAGTGGCTCAGCTGTTTAAGCATCTGCCTTTAGCTGGGGTCAGGATCCAACCTGGCATCAGGCTCCTTGCTCAGCAGGGAGCCTGCTTTTCCCTCTGCCTGCTGCTCCCCCCTGCTTGGGCTCTCTGTCTGACAAACAAATAAAATTTAAAAAACAAAAACCAAAACAAAACACTGAGATTACAAGGTTAATTGTTACTCTAGAGCCCAATCTGACTAAAACACTGAATAAAAAATGAAAATGCCATTAACGAAGAAGGGAGGGTGGATAAAGAAGAGATGAAGGTAAGAGGATGGATTCAAAGTTCACTTTAAAGCTGAAAGGATCACAATCTCAGATTTCAACCTATACTATAAAGCTACAGTAATCGAAACACAGCATGGTTCTGGCACAAAAACAGACACATAAGTCAAAAGGACAGAACAGAGTCCAGAAGTAGACCCATGCTCATATGATCAATTAATCTATGAAAACACAGGCAAGAATTTACAATTGGGAAAACACAGTTTCTTAAATAAATGGTATTGGGGAAACTAGACAGCCACAGGCAATAGAATGAAACTAGACCATTTTCTTACACTATACACAAAAATAAGCTCAAAATGGATTAAAAACTTAAATGTAAGACCTGCATCCATAAAACTCCTAAAAGAAAATACAGGCAATTATCTCTTTGTCACTGGACTTAACAAAAAGCAAATATTGTATTGGGACTACTTCAAACTAAAAACTTTTGCATAACAAAGGAAACCATCAAAACAAAAAGGCAACCTACCAAGTGGGAGAGGATATTTGCAAATGATACATCTGAAAAGTGGTTAATGTTCAAAATATACAAAGAATTCATACAACTCAACACCAAAGAAACTAAGAATCAGATTTTAAAATGGGCAAACGACCTAGACATTTTTTCAAAGAAGCCATACAAATAGTCAACAGATGTATGAAAAGATGTTCAATATCACTAATCATAAGAGAAATACAAATCAAAACCACAATGAGATATTGCCTCACACCAGTCAAAATGGCTGGTATCAAAAAGACAAGA